GTTCCTGTCCCGGCAGCCGCGGGGCCGCTGCCAGCTCCGCGCTCGACACGGATGTGGTGCTGCTCCGAGCGGGAACGGCGCGAGCTGGCGCTACCCGGCGAGTGCGTCCAAGCACGGGGACCCGGCCTTGCACAGCCCGTGCCCCGCAGCAGTTCTCCCTGTGCTGTTCTTCCTCACCGAGTCGCTGCCTTCCAGGGTGGCTTGTGAGCTGTGTCTTATTTTGCATTAGATTTCCTAATTATAAAGTGGATGCAATAATAATTAAATGCTTATCTTAAAAGCAGGGTATACAGTTTAATTAGCTGTAATTTATGCCATACACACGCAGCTCTGCAAAGGCAATAGATGTTGTTTGTGTTATGCTCCTTTATTCCACACTGCAAAGCCACAGCAGCACAGTTTTGGGTTTTATCCTGCACATTGCTACTGCTTATATTAAAAAAAAAAAAGTGTTCCAGCACTTACAGCTAATAAAAAAGAACCTGTAACTAGATTTATAGGACACTGCCTTAGAGGATCAGAGCACTGGGGACTCAAAACAATTTTTATACTCAACTTCTTCACCTTTCCAGGATCACAGCGAGTAATGGTATTGAGACCATTGTTTTCTGATGAGGACAAACCAAGACTGTGCGAAGTGCTGTCACATGGGCAATGTCACACACGCCAGGACCGGATCAGCACCCTTGTCCCCTTGGCACACTCACGCTGTGCTCCTCGTTCTGCTCAAGCTCGCACCGTCTCTCTGTGCAGAAGGGCAGCAGGGAGGAAGGGCCACCAAAGAGCTCCAGCCAAACTCCGCTGCACCCAACTGTGAAGCGCCAGCTGAAAAACAAACACAAAAACTGCAAACAACAACTTCCCCGTTTCCTGTCCGTGGCTGAGAGCTTGCATCCCTCAGCCCATTTGCCTGTCTGCTTTGATGATCTCAGAAAACACTTTCTGCCTGGCTTAGCTCACTGTGCGATCAAATAACCCATGCACTGATGCAAGGGCACAGACCGCTACAGTCCTGAGCGAGCGGGAGAAAGGGAACCCACAACAGTGTCACCTCACATCAGCTCCGGCTGCTGCTCTCAGCCTTCCCTTGTACCAGCATTAGCTTTTAGTGGGTCATGCAATCAGCTGCATGAGGTGCTTTTGTCTGAAAATTAAGTTATTTTTGTAGAATTAGGTTCAGCTGGAGCAGCTCCAGAGTTTGCTGAAGCACCGCCTCTCCCCTGCTTCCCTTTCGCCCCCCCTCCTGCCACAAGTTGCATTTTCCTGCCTGCTTCCTCATGCTTCCGTGGCATTGACAGGACCTGCTTTACACGAACATCGGCTGTGGACGTTGTGGAAAGCAGCCGCTTCCCCTTTGCCAGGAGAGTTTTCTGCCACTTAAGTGGGACGAGCGAGGCCCAGGAGGGCCAGCAGCACCACAGCAGCGCAGGACAAACAGGGGACCCCCAGGTCCCCAGGGGCAGGGAGGGGACGGGCAGTGGTACCGTCCCCTCTCAGCAGCACAGCGCTGCTGTCACCTCCCCGTGTGTCACTGCAGAGCAGCTCACACACGGGGACGGGCCCCGGGGAGGCAGCAAGGCTTGTGCTTGGCGCCCGATCCCCACAACGCCCGCGTGGGGCCGGCAAACCCGGCGTGCCCAGCCCGTGTGCAGCGCACTCGGAGGCTCTGCGTGCAGGCAATGCTCACCAGCGTAGATCCACGCTTGCTGCTGTTTGCAGACATGAGGACCCACGTTGAAAAGGATCTGAGGGAACAGGGAGAAACAAGGTGGTTCAACCAGCCATTAATT